CCACTGTTTCAGTGTCTTGTCAACCTTTCAAAAGAAAAGAAAATTGGAAATGCTGATTTTTCTTCCATTTGGAAACATGAATCCTCAAGAAAATTATGATTTCTTCTATTCGGATTCGGCTTTTCTGCTCCATTATTTGGTGGTCTGACGAAGGTTTACCTTATCAATATTTGTAAAAATTTGGAGGGACTATCCTCAAAGGTGATATATTTTATTATCATGCCCTTTAAGTAATTTCCTCGTTTTCTAACCAATTGGTCTATGAAATGGGTCAATAGTTTAGACATGTATAGACTAGATGGGGATGACCTGCCATGTGGCAACTGAGCTCACGAGCAGATATGGTACGGAGCGTTGAGGCAAGACTGCAGAAGCCTCCTTGGTTTTGAGTGACAACAATACAAACTATAAAAAATGGAATATGGTTTATTTGGAAGGCTCGTAGGGTCTGTTTGCTTTTGCAGTTGGAATCGGAATTAAAAATTAAATCTTTCAGAATTAGAATTTGAATGGTCTATTTTTATAATTTGTTTGAAAATGAAATAGAATTTTATTATCAAGAAGGGGGAGGGAATAACCATTCTCTCAAATGCGAAAATGTCATTTCACCAAGAATGAGAATGAGACTCCGATTCCATCCAACCAAACAATTGAAATCAGAATAGCCCATTTCGATACCAAACCTCTATTCCCGCAAACCAATTGACTGTAGAGTTAGGCAGTTAGGCTTGCTCTCTGTAGTGAACTAAAATACCATATAAGAACACTCTGCCCAGAGATGGAACATGGTCCGTTTACTTATATTATTTTGGCCCTGGACTAAACCTTTTTCGAGGGAAACATTCTCAGCCCACATAAATTGGGTTGCACTTGGGATGGGCCTGATCATTTCAAAAGTAATTAATATATTATGAATCTTCAAACTGGGCCATGGTCTATTCAACCCCAGCTTGAGCTTACTTTGGACCCCAAAATTGAGCCCAGCGTGATCCCATGACTCCGTGGGCCTGGCAGATTTGGGTTTGCTCAGGCCTGAACCACGTTGGGGATGCAACTCTGCTCTTTAATGGCCTAGGCCCTAGGGCCAGGACTGAACTAAATTTACTTGCGTCGTCATGAGCTCGACCCAACTTTAACTGGCCCTACTCTTTCCTGAATCATATTGTTAACTGCAAAAACACGGGTAACTTGCTCATGGCCTATATGTCACTAGGGGTGAGTAAATGGACATGTTCTACCTAGAATTAAATGGAATTGACCTTGAATTAGCCCTACCCAATGTGTTATCGGATAGGGTCTCGTCCCAAATTCTTAGAACCGATTCCCATCTAAGCTAGTTCCAAGATATAACGGTTCACCCCTATCCAAACCAACTCAGAGAATTAATCTTGATTGGTTCCTGGTGGAACTAAACTTGTCTTGACAAAATGACAAAATACTTCAAGGATATGAAGATTTGAACCCCACTCATGGTTAGGAGTGCAAATGGACTACTGAATCAAGATCTGATTCAAATTTAAAAACAATCCTATTTTATCGAATTTGGATACCCTATCAAATTTTTATACCGGATCGGATTAAGAAAAAAAAATATCCATTTAAAAATCGGATCGAAATCGAATCACCACATGTTCTAAATATTTAATAGACTGATGTTTCGTATCTCGGTTCAATCTTTTGTAGTGTTGGTTTAGTTGTCTTTGACAGGTTTCATTGCAATCAGCTTCAATTAATTTAGTTAATTTCCTTCACAATCTTAACTACCACAATGTGACATTTCGGATTAAGTTTTGTATTTGTCTCAACTGTTAATGATAAACAGATTATATTGATCTACGAGCACTCTTAACTTGGACATGCTGGACATGCGGATGGTTGCACAACCAAATTTGATTACTATTTTTTGGGTGGTTGCAGCTCTTATTGAAGTTTATTGACACTGAACAATTTCAGAGGTAAGTGTATTTTTTTTTAAATAATTTGTGATTTCTTTCCTTTTTTGAAGTTGAAGGTGTGTAGTCTTTTTATTTTGTTAAGTTTCAGAATTTGTAATAATTATTTTTTAACTGTACTTATCTTAAGAATTACTAGGGCTATCCAAAGATAGGAATGGCAACGGTATAGGGCAGGGCATCCGCTCCCAGTCCCCGCCCCGTAGCCAAAATCCCTTACCCCGTCTCTGCTCTGTCCCCGGGTTGAACAGAGAACCTCCTTCTTATTGGGGATAAGGAATCCTCAAATTTTCCCCACCCCGAGTTCATACTTAAAAATATATCATATTTGGGGTATTTTGAAAATTATATTATGGGAATTTAGGGGTATTTTAAAAATTGGATTATTGAAATTTAGGGGTATTTTATACATTAAATTATTGGTTCTTTAAGGTTTTAGGAATTTGGGGAAATTTTAAAGAAATTTTAGAAATTAATGTTAAACCTAGGCATACTTTAATAATTTACTGTCGGATTCGAGGAATTATATGCAAAACCCATCCCTGCCCTTTCCCCAGTTTGGGGCAAAACCCACCCAATTCGGCGTGGAGCGGAGTGGGGCCCCAGTTTTATGGGAAAAGTTGCCATCCCTATCCAAAGATGTCGATTATTTCTTAGAAATATGAAACAAGATTCTTGTTTCGAAACACAGAAATGTGGTGGAACAATGCTAAATGGGACCTTAAGTGATTTGGTCGTTTTTCTTCAATTTAATATTTGTGTACAATAAATAACGTAAAGGATAATGTTTAAAAATTTTAAATTATAATGATAAACTTTGAACTATATATTAATATGCTACCAAAATCTATAGATAAAATTACTTAATTGAATCAATTTAATCAACAAAGGTAATATAAGGTTTGAACAATATTATTGTTGCTATTATTATTGAAAACCAAGATTTTAAAGAATAATTTCCATTTTTGGGGGGTAAAGAAAGAGAATATGAATCTCCTACCCCTAAGAATCCTACCACACCTACCCAGGGACACCACAGCCATGCATTGAGAACATCTCCCATGTACAGCTGTAGTGTCCAGTGGGTAGGATCGTTGTGGGTAGGAGATCCAAGCTCAAAGAAAAAATAAGTTCTATGATGGCAATTTTCCCCATTTCCATGATCCCCATGTCCCCACCCCATGGGGATGATTTTCCCCTTATGGGAACGGGGATGGAAAAATTTTCATCCTTATTGGCGGGATGGAAAGAGCACTCCCTGCCCCATGAAGATCCTACTAATATGTATGCATTATGTATATTAATATTATTAAACATATGTTGAATATATTTGAATCTTTTTAATAGGACCGTAAATTTTACTTATTTTATTTTTAGATTTTTTAAATAAAATAAAAAAACAAAAAACAAAAATGATTGACATTATAAAAAATCACAGGGGATGGAAATAACCTTGTCCCTATTTCGAGGGGGGTGTAAAGAAAGAACAAGAAAACTAATCATAAAACCACCAAGACCAGAACCAACCCTAGAACCTAGGTTCCACTTCCACAAACCCATACCACCTAGCACTAGTATTGACCAGTTTTGAAATTCAATTATGTGAGTATGCAGCTGATCGACAGAGAGTTGACATGGGAAATGCAAGGAAAGATGGCTCCCTGTAGTTTAGCTATGGTGGTTTAGCTGGGTTTCCGACTCTGCCGTCTTTGTTCTTGTTTTCAATGACGTGTGGGGCTGATGCATACAAGCTTTTCCAGTAATCCTTGCAATTTTTTGTTCTCTTCAGCATGTCATGGTTCAGCTTGACAAAAAATACTCCTTACCTTTTGAATTTACTCTATTTTCCTTTCCATGTTCGGCTCATCATAACTTCAAGTTCGAATCAAAAGTTCGAAAAAGCTAATATATTAATCAGAACAAGCTTGTGAGCTTGAAGCCAAATATTCTATTAGCCGAAGTCAAATTCGAAAAATTAATGGAACTTGCACCTTTAGTTGTGAGGCAGTAGGTGAGTTTATTCAAGATTCAAAAGAACTCAATTGCATGTTAATATTCTTTCAAAAAATGTGTATGTTAATACATGGTTTCCAAAACCGGATCGGACCGGATGGTCAAAATCGGACCAGTCAGACCAGAAAACTGGGAAATGGTCAGGTGACCGATTCCATTTTTCCCCAAAACTGAAATTTTGCCAAAAAACATTGATTTGGTAAAAAAACCGCTGACCCGGGCAATTAAACTATTCAAACCATTCAACGGTTTTGATCTTTTTTTTTGGCAGAATGAGCCATCTGTTCAATTCAAACAGTTGGACCATTTGACCCGGGAACCGGACCCTTGGCCAGTTCGTTGTCCGGTAGGGTCCAGTTCGGTTTTAAAAATTGTGTTAATAAGCTCATGTCCATTTTGCAAGGTGCTATTTGCACATATAAAGGACTAAAGAGTATTATTTCATGTGTGCTTCACAAATTAAGGCCCCATTTGCTTTCCAGTAAGTTATTTACCCAGATAAATAACACAATGACCATTTTAACCATAAAATTCCATTATTAAAAGGGGCAACTTTCCTCATATGTGGGAAAGTTATTTACCCACCTAGGAGCAAGGTTCAAAGTATTGATATCAATGGCTTCCTGATACGCCCCTCCAGGGGTTGTATCTGGTCAGACAATGGTTCAGAGGGTAGCCAGGCCTTAAACCAACCCCTCTGGACCAGTTTCGAAAAAAATAAATAAAACCTAAAAAAATACTGATTTTGAACCTTGCCTAGGAGATGGGTATCACTTACCCGGATAAGCGGTACTCAGGCCTTAAACCAACTCCTTTGAACCGGTTAAAAAAAATAAATAAATAAAACCTACAAAAAAAATACCGATTTTGAAACTTGCTTAGGAGATGGGTATCACTTACCTGGATAAGTGGTACCCAAGAAAATAAACTTTCCCTGCTCCCCACATAAATCTGGAAAAAGAAACGCCTCCTAAGTAGAATGCCAAGGGATGCCTTGGCTAGTTATTGTTATTTCTTGTGCCATGGAACACATTGTTACATGCCTAAATACTGCAACACGAAAAATGATATTCAATGTCAATAATAACCATCATTTCTGTCAAACAATATAACAAAAAAAGAAAAAGTCATTTGAGAAAAGAAAATGTCACACAGAGATAATATCCCTCAAGAATAAAGTGTTGGGAAAAGACCATGCAACACAAATATGATAGAAATGAGGCTTATCAGGGAAAAGGGGGAAGCATGATCGCTTTTCATGGAGAGATTACATTCTGCTGTCCTAATTGGTTGTTTTATTGACCTGAGAAAACTCTTTGGTTTATTATAACTAGGCGATTCTTGTGGGGCTGTTCACACAAGTATTGGTGAAAGGCAACAGAGAAGGGTAGAATCTTTAGCTCAAGGGTTTGATCTTGCTAACCTTGCAGTTATCAAATATAAAAAAAAAAAATGAATATTTCCTCCTTTTACCCGCATTGCAATTGCGGGTCCTGAAAAAAGAGTGTTGAGAAACTTGAAGCCCTTTTTTCTCTGCATCAGAAGCTGCTCGTTTTTGGAAAACATGCTTGTGGCATGATAGACAGAGAATTTCAGTTCCAAATTAACTAGATTCACTTTTAGTAGCACCATGGAAACAATGCCATCAATGTAACTTGAAATAGTATTGTCACGACAACATGCTGGATGATGATCCACAACACCAAAATCACTGCAGACGCTGGTCTAAAATCCAAAGTCCAAGTAATATCAAATGTTCCCTATGTCGCTTAGGAGACCAAGGTCCAAATTCTCCATTTGCCTCTTGGTAATTGAAATTGCATGCCGATTCTGCATTCAGCAAAGCATCCCATGGGAAGATGACATTTAATTATGCTGTGGCAGACAATAAAACATCTATTGAAAGTTGCACATCAACACCTTACCTAACGGGCTGCCGTTTGCTAGCTGAGGGCAACTCAAATTACAAACTGTAATACAATCCAATTGTGTCCATTTTCACGCCACAAGTACATCTTATGCACCCCACCAAATATCCTAGTGTAGCCTTCATGGAAATGTTGGGGGTGCTAACTGGTTGAATCTTGTTCCCCGTTCTTCTTGCCCCTCCAAAGTATGATCTGACCATCTTTAAATAATATAGGGACACAAGGCACCAAATCCTACATTTATGGAATCGTAAGAGAAACAATCAAGTGGATGTTGGAAACAATCTCGACTGAATATCATGAAATCAAATTATGTTAACAACATTTGAGAATTGAAGAAGGCTAGGATGGGGGGAGGGGGAGGAATTTTACAATTCTGAAAGGAGTACAATTCAGTCATAAAAAGGGTGGCTTACTCTTAGCTTCACACCAATCTTCTTACAGTCACTAGTATCCACATAGGTGCATTCCAGTCTCACAACTTCTTCAGTCTTGAATGCCTCTCTCACTCTCTGCACCACATTCACATACACACCATTCCTGGCTGCACAACATGAAAATACCCTCATGCCCATCAAAATTATGCATCATCCTCCCATATGATATATCAATACTTACAAAATGATAAGATAGTTGGAGTGAATGCCATTTTCAACAGATGCATCCAAAATGTAAATCGACTCACTGAGTTTCATAAGAGGGGGAGAGTTCAATCCCCTGTTTCTCATCTCCTTGGTTTCCTCAAATGTTAGGCCATCTGCTACATTTTTAACTAATCTTGGGTAGATTGGGGGATATGGATTCCATAGCATCAAAGGGATAACTGGCCTGTTCTTGGGGTCATAGTTTCGACCACGGTACAGGAGAAGGATATTTATATGCCGATAGATAACTTTGCCTCCAGTTTTATCCTGTGGATAAAGTACTAATAATTATCAAGTGCAACAATTTCTGGCAAACAAATCCAAAAGAACAAAAAATTACAAAATCATTAGAATATAAGGCTCTTCAGGGGAAAACACACACACAAACAACCTCAAGGTGGAAGCAAATGTTGTCCATGTCAAGAGTTGGTACTCCCAAGCATTTGATTCTGACTGCTTCAGCTCTTTTCCAGTGGTTGTGTATGTCATCCAACATATTGTGAGTTACTCCACCCTTCCCTAGACACCGAATTTGAATCAAAACCATTCAGTTGTTAATACAGAAAACTTGTAGAATCCATCATCATCTATATGAATCAGAGTTGTGAACCTTATGATGCACAGAAACAAACCTGGGGGGAGATGATATAAAGCTAGTTATTCAAGTCTATGGATAAAAGATACTGACCAAACAAGTTATAGAACAAGTAGAGAAATACCTATATTAATCTGTCGGGAACAATCGTTGTGTCGATATCGCTCAACAAGCTCTTCAATTTCTTCCTCGGTGAGTGGATCACCAAGCACTGAATTCTGTTCTTTAAAGACCTCTGATGCATCTGCAAATTGTTCTGCTGGTGCGGAAGTCCCAGTCCATTTCCGGTCGAGACGACCAGGACCAAATGGAGAAAACCTTGGTGGTTCTCGAAACCCTATAGGCTGGATTGACGGGTTGGTTTCAGAGTACGAGTATCTGAAATCAAATGGAAGATCAGAATGGACTGGGAGATTCTGTTCTTTTTCAGAAGCTAAAGCTTTTATGGGACTCTTAGATTTTGAGGGTTTTGAAGTGTGGGAAAAAGGAGGGTCATAGATATCATCAGAAATTGTCGAGGAGTGTTTTATACACAAAGAGCTGCAGAGAAGTAGCAAGGGTGGTGCTAGATGGGAGAGGTTTAAGTTTTGGGTTCGAGTTTGAAGAATTGGAGAGTGCCATGAAAGGAGCTTCAGCATCTATGAAAACAACTGGCTACAAAAATTGCAGGAGTTGCTACAACATTTAGTTTATTTTGTAGGGCAGTTCAGTAATATAAACCCTTTGATGACCACTTTCAAACTTGAATCCGCATTCTCCGCTTGCCAGTCCAAGATATTATCATTACACCAAGTAATGGGCCCTATAGAATTGCACCAATATTCAATTTTACATGAATAATAAAGATAGAACAGCATTATCCTTTACAGTTACCATCATAATAGAATTCTAAATACAATTCATAATTTAGTGGGTTCAATTCATTGCAGATCTACCTCAACTTGAACCTAAGACGGATCAAATTTTATTTACCGAAGCCCAATTCACCACTTAATTAAGGTTGAGTGGAAACAAACCAGATGGGAGAGGGAAGATTTACCATTTGACCCAACCTATTGGCATCCTTAGGTGGGATGCAGCTGATCCAATACGGTTCAGACAAGGATTAGATGAGTGAATATGGCAGAGCAATGGATTGCAGCAATTTGTACAGAAATATATCCATGAAAAAAATTATAAATTTAGTAGTATCACTATAAACTACCATTAAACTGATAAAAATGCAAATCACTATAAAGTATAAACTACCATTAAAATCAAACTTGAGTTGGGATTTGCTGCCAGAAGAAGTACATTACGATGTTTATAACACAAAAATCCAGCTGCAAATCAAGAACATCTCTCAATGAATGACAAGGTAGATGTTCCAGATGTGCAGATGGATTGCCTATTTCATTAATCAAAAAGTTTATACAAAGAAACCCCTGTACAATGAGAAACTGAACAGAGGATGTGCAGATTTGCCCATAACAACCAAACAAAACCCCAAAAAGACTTGTCAATTCCGTACAAAAAGGAGATCAAACTCATAAAAAGAGCTAACATGTCTGGATCTAAATAGAGGATGGACAGCCAGCCAAGAATGAACCATTCCCAATATTTTGCTCAGAATTTCTTTCTTTGAGTGCTCAATTCTTTCAAACACTGCTATTCATCTCATTCCATACAGCTCAGATACTGCTGGCAAGGATGATGCTCCAAGTGACCTTTCCAGCCCTGCTTAAGCCTCCAAGATACCACGCCTCTATTAATCCCCTCACATCTGCTGGTAGACATGTTGTTACCCCAAATAAGCCCAACATTTTTAACCAAATCCAGTGAGAAAACTCAGAGTGTATCAGCAGATGTCTAGACGACTCCATACTAACATTGCATAAGGGACAAGCCAAATCAGCCACTTCTATGCCTCTATTAGCCAGGTTCTCTTTAGTTAGAATCTTGTCCAACACCGCTGACCAAACAAAGAATGCCAATTTAGACGGTACTTTTTTTTATCCAAATCCTGTCACATGCAAAGGAGGTGGTCTCCTCTCTTGATATGCCTTTGAAAAAGGACTTTACAGAGAACACTCCTGATTTCTCAAGGATCCAGTTTCTTCAATCTTCCCCTAAACCAGTTATTTTTGAGTCATAAAATCTGTAGCAAGTTGATTAAAGATGTCACCTCCTAGTCATTTAAGTTCCTTCTAAAATGAGGGTTCCATGCACAAAGTCCATTCTGCCTTTCCACATAATCTGCTACTGATGCTTCCTTGTTTATAGCTAATTCAAACAGGTCTAGGAAAACCATCCTCAGTGGGCTGACATCACACCATTAATCCTTCCAAAAGAGAACCCTCCTGCCATCTCCCACTTTATACTTTATACCCTGCTGTATGAGATCTTCTTTTTCTTTTGAAGTAATAAAATTGGGATTGATTTTTCTCAATTGCCTTCCAATTTCAACAGCCATAGGATGATCAAACCTCCTCAGTTTCCCATTCTCTGCTGCTGATCCCATATTTGGCTACAATTAGTCTTCGTCATAAACTGTCTAACTGCTCATTGAATCTCCATAACCATTTTCCAAGAAAGGCAGTGTTCACATCTTTCACTGATCTGATCCCGAAACCCCTATTTGCTTTGGAACAGCAGATTTTCTTCCAGTTAACCAGATGACACTCTGAGTCCTTCCAACCCCTCCACGGGAAGTCCCTCATCTTTTTTTCCAGTGCTGTAGCCCACTTAGCTGGAATTGGAAATAAAGACAGAAAAAAATACAGGAAGTGAGGACAACATACTTTTAATTAAAGTGAGTTTACCCTTGGATAGGTATTTGTCTTCCATGATGCTAGTTTTCTGTCCACCTTCTCCAGGATGGGCTCCCATATAGATTTGGACTTGCAGTTTTCCCCCAAAGGCATACCTAGGTACCTAGACGGGAGTTTACCAGCTTTACATCCCCAATCATCTGCCCCATTCTTTCAGATTTGCTACCTCCCCAACACCCATGATCTCACTCTTTCGAATGTTAATATGTAAACCTGTTACCACCTCAAACCATCTTAATATTGCCTTCATATTCCAAATTTGTTCCCACGAGGCATCACAAAAGAAGAGAGTGTCATGCGAATTGAAGGAGTGAAATCTCCACCTCCCCATTACCCACTTTAAAGCCTTCTAATAATCCTCCCTCTCGTGCTCTCTCAACCATTCTGGAAAGAGCTTCCGTCAGGCAAATGAATAGAAGGGGAGAGAGTGGGTCACCTTGTCTCAAGCCTCTAGAGCTTCTAATCAAACCACATTAACTCCCATTGACAAGAACTGAGAACAAGGCAGAAGATAAGTACTTTTATCCAATTTCTCCATCTCTTTCCAAAGTTCATTCTCTTTAAATTCCAGATTACATGACAATATGCCTTCTCCAAGTCTACTTTACAAAGTAATCTCGCTTGTTCACTCCTTTTCCTTGAATCTATTAGTTCATTTGCTATGAGGACGCCATCCACAAGCAACCTTCCTTCTATGAATGCACCTTGGGTCTCCGTAATCAGATTTAAGATCACTCTAGACATTCTGTTAGCCAATAACTTAGCTAATATTTTGTAAAGGCTGCTAATTAGACTGATTGATCTGAAATCAGCCAGCTTTACTGCTCCTTTCTTCTTTGGTATTAGAGTGATGAAGGTATGATTTAAGCTCCTTTCCAAAGCACCCCTCTCATGGAACTCCCTTAGCACATTTAGCATGTCTTGCTTCACAATTCCCCAGCATTTCTTATAGAAAAGTAAAGTAAAACCATCCGAGTCTGGTGCCTTGTCACCCTCCAAGCCTTTCACCACATCCAACACTTCCTCCTCTGAATGGTGCCTCCAAATCTCTAGATTTCTCTGCTGAGAGAGAATTAAACTGCAAACCAACTAACAAAGGTCTGGATCTCCAATATTTCCTTGTACAAATTTTTGTAGGACTTTGTTATATGGGTTTTTATCTGACCTTCCTCTTCAATTTCCACCCCCTGAATTTCTAGTTTTTTTATTGTATTTTCTCTCCTTGCACTAGCCATTTTGTGGAAGAACTTTGTATTGTTGTCTCCATCTCACAACCACTAGCATCTTGACCTTTGTCTCCATTTAATTTCCTCTTTTTTTTTTTTGATCAATTCCATTTAATTTCCTCTTTGTAAGCTAATTTGTGAAATTCCCTCTTAGCCATTTCTCTTTCTTTCTTTTTTCTTTTATCAATTTAACCATTTCTCTTTCTGACCTCTCCTCTCTACCAATATCTCCATTTTCCTCTTGTCTATCAATTTCAGCAATTTCCTCTAGGTATCTTTTCTGATTATTTTCATTCACCTTTTTTTTGACAGATAGCAAAGACTTTTATTAATAGATATTAATAGAGAAGATTATTTTCATTCACCTTTAAGGTAGTTTGTGCCCAATCTTTTATTTTTTGTTTCAACCCCTTCAGCTTTTTGCTGAAAATGTGGCTTGACGAACCTTCAAAGGATAAACTATTCCACCATTCAGCTATCAACTCCACAAAACCTGGTTCTTCAAACCAAGCATGTTCAAACCTGAACGGAGGGTGGCCTCCCCTCCCCTTATACCACCACAGTTCAGCATGACTGGTGCATGATCAGATATTGGTCTGGGTAGAGCTTCTAGGGACAAATTTGGGAAATTTTCCTCCCACTCGGGGGACACCACAAATCTATCAAGCTTCAGTAAGGTTGCCTCACTCTGGTTATTTGTCCATGTATATTTCCCCCCTAGTAAAGGTAGATCTAATAGTTCCCATCTCCTCATGAACTCCCTAAATCCCCTCATTCCCCTCCTGTTTTCTCTCCGACCCTTCTTCTCATAGGAGAACCTGATTGTGTTAAAATCCCCCCTACAACCCCAGGGGCAATCCCATCTCCTTTTTGTATCATCCAGCTCTTCCCAAAAAGAATTTCTCAAACCCTCTTCGTTTGGCCCGTATAGCACTGACAATACCCAATCCCAATCGCTGTCCTGTGAGTGGAATAAAAATGATACCAAAAATTGTCCAATGATCTTATCTTTGACTGAGATTAATTCTGTATCCCAGACCACCAGAATCCCCCCAGATGTTCCTTGAGCTGGTAAAGCTACCCAATCACAGCTACACTCCCCCCCCCCACACCATATACTTCCCACCACTGCTTGACACATCTTCTCCATCTTTGTTTCCAGCAGACATAAAATTCCCGGATTCCGTTTCTTCGAAAAAAGTGTTGGCAACTACCCTTCTATGCCCTGAATTTAGGCCCCTTATATTCCAAGATACCACTTTCAGCAACTCCATCTGTACACCAAAATTTGAAAAAAGCTATTTACAATTTACCAGACCCTATCCCTTTACCCCTTCACCACCCCTTCAATACCTTCTTGCCCCTACTCGCACTACCGGCCTTCTCATTTAAACCCCAAGCCAGTCTGAAAAGTTCTTTTTTCTGTTCTACGACCCCATCTCCCCTTCTCTAATACTTTTCTTTCGATTACTATCAAGTATTCTTTCCTCACTCCTTCCAACCCCTTCATTGGCACCCCCAGCAAATCTCCAATGTTTAAGAGATTTGAGAGAACTCAACTAGAGATTTTGATGGGGTTGCCTTCCCTCTCTTTCCATGATAGAAGAGTGCAGTGGCTGCAGGTCACTATATGTTGTTTCCTTACCTGCCATAATCACTGCGAGCGGCTGAACTTCTTCATCCCCAGGTGATTCGCTACTCTCGTTCATGGTAATTAGGGCTCCACCTTTGGATGATTCCATCCTTTGGCACTACCCTGGTCCCTCCCGAGCTCATGTGTTCTTTTTCTCGCCCTCCCCTTTCTCCCCCAAGTCCTCCCCTGTATTTCCCCGACTACTACTCTCCGCATTGTTGTTCAAAGTTATCTCCCTCCTGAAATGCGATCATTCATCGGTCATCTTTTCTCGAGTTCCAGCTTGGGTTGAAACTAGTTCAACCGAGCCAGTCCATTGGTTGGTTTTCCCCCAGTTTGTATTTGGCCCTCCACGTTTGAAGCCACATGATGGGCCTTCTCTAAACCCTCAGGTTTAAAATACTAGTGTTTAGAGCTTTTGGTGGTGACATTAATGATCCATTGCGTCTTCTCCTACATCGCCTTGATCTACTCCTCCCTCTTCTACGGTCCAGATCGCTCCATCTTTTCGCAACAACGCTCCATTAACCTCTCGCACAGCTCTTCAAAATTCAAATTTTGAATGTTAATATTAATTTCAGTCTGCCTGCCCTCTGACATTCTACAGCTCAGATTTTCTATTTGACTTTTCTTTTTGCTCACTCTTTCCCTTTCGGTGTCAGTGATTTCAGATATTGCCACATGCCCCTGTACCTCACCCGCAACTGCCCTCTCCGTCTCCCTGACCTCACCCTCTTCTCCGGCACTGATCACTCTTCTTCCTTCCTCTCCAATCACCGCTTTCCCCCTTCATTTTTTGGCTTACTTCCGAATCAATGTCTGAACCTGCCAGGGCCAAGTGGATCAGACGTTTCTCTACTAATACTGCTTGCCTTGCATCCTCCGTCTTTCTGCAACGTTTTGGAAGTATCTCCAGCCACAGGGTTACCACCACCATCTCACTTCCTTCTAAGATGTTTGTTGTTGCCGGAGGGTAGCCCTTCCACTTTGCTTTAAACCATTCTGTTGCTTCCTTTGCCTCCTGTGAGTTGTTCATTTGTACATACCCTCCACATAACTCCCCTATTTGCCTAACCACTGTTTCACTCCAAAACTGTAAGGGAAGGCCAAATATTTTCACCCAATATTCATCACGGTCGTTGAGTGGTTTTCCTTGCCCCTCAGAGTACACCTCCTATGGAACTAAATGCATCACAGAACCTTCAACATTTCTCGCCCCTGTTTTCCATACCCTGAGCACCTCTGCCTCAGAGACGCTCTTACCCCAAAAGCTACGTTCCATTTTCTCGCCACCCACTGTTGTACTTTTGGAACCAAGTAAGAGGTCTCCACCAAGCCTACCAGGCATGCTTTCAGGAACTTCTTCCTCTTTTCTTCTCCCTCCCTGTTTACTTCCACAAAAAAGTTTTTCCTTCCAACTTTTATTGTGGCTTCTCCCTCTTTCATCCATTCCAAAGATTTTGCTTTCTCTGCAAAGGACTCCACTATTTGATTTTCCCCTTCCTTGTATCTTCTTCCTCCATTGCCACCAAAGGGTTTTGACTTCTGGTAATATGTCCTCCTAGGGTAATTTCCACGGCGTCTCATATCTCCCGAATGGGATTTGTGCCAACTGAACTTCTCGCTGATCGTTTTCCACCGATCGTCACTACCAGCGACCAATGGGATCTGTTTAAGGAAGAAAGATATATGAAATTAGCATAGTTGTCAAGGTGTTGCTGGCAGCAGACCCGAGCTCATCAAACTTCACCATGTTGCTCAAGGAGCTTATACTCATAAACAGTGCTAATAATTTTATTTCTCATTTATCTTAAAGATGATACATATCATTATTATATAATGCTGACACTTGCCTTGGATTCACAACCAGGCCATAAAAGTTAAATCACGATGTTTTAATAGCATTATATAACGTCAATACTTACAAATTATAGTTGTTCAAATGTTTTAATCTTAAAATCCAATAGTGAGCCAAGGCATTTAAAGAGGTATAGCAAAAACATCTTCAAAATCTAAATGTTATTCTTTTCATCTTTTCGTAGTTTTTTTTAGGAAAGTTTAACCAAATTTCATTAAAAGAAGAAAAAGTACATGAGAAGATGTACAAAACAGGGGATAAGCCCCGAAAAGCTTACAAGGGAGGAAGCCCATTGCTATACAGATTTTCTAATCCTGCACCAATTTTAGCTAATCCATCTGCAACGTGGATTCAGCTCCCTCAGGATCCAGAGCAGGTTTACATTTAAACATTCCAAGGAATCTCTTGCCTCTGCCAAATAATGGCACAACCTCCAAGGACCCCCCCTCCTTGTCCTTCTGCCTTTTAATGGTATTTGCTGAATCTCCTACAATATACAAGTTCTGAATACCCAAGCTTTTTACTATTCTGATTCCAGTGAGAGCAGCCAACACTTCAGCCTTAGTTGAGTCAATATAGCTGATTGGGCCACTTAAGACCCACCAGATGCTACCCCTTTCATCCCTCAAGATACCCCTAGAAATTATATATAAAAAAAGGTTATTTTGAGTTTATTTTCCATCATATGTAAGATAAAGAGTCGTTGTATGTGAATTATTTAATTCTCAAGTCAAACTTAAATATATCATCTTAGACTTTCATTGTATAAGTGGTAAATTCTATTGATTTAGGTAGATACATGGTATACATGGATTAAAAGTAGGGTACAATATATTTTGCATTTTAGCAATATCTACATTTTATTTTAACAAGTTTTTAAAAAAATAGAAATAATCTTATGACTTACAATAATATGATTCACAATTCGATTCGATTCAATTTTCTCTACAATTACAATTTTTCTGAACATTGGTCAGCAGAAAATTGCAGAAAATGCAGAAAAATAGCAGAAATTTGCAGAAGATGCAGAAAAATAGCAGAAAGTTGCAGAAAAATAGCAGAAATTTGCAGAAGATGCAGAAAAATAGCAGAAAGTTGCAGAAAAATAGCAGAAAATACCACAAAATAGCAGAAAATTGCAGAAGATAGCAGAAATTGCAGAAAATTACTAAAAAATGCAGAAAATTACCAAGAAATTGCAGAAAATAGCAAAAACTAGCAGACAATACCAGAAAAATGCATAAAATGCCAGAAAATAGCAAAACAAATGCAGAAAAAAACCACAAAATTGCAGAAATGCAGAAAAATAGCTGAAAATTGCAAACATTATGCAGACAAATACCAGAAAATTGCAGAAATGCAAAAAAAATAGCAGAAATTTGTAAAAAAGCATAACTTTTGCAGAAAAAAAAAAATCAGAAAAAAATGCATAATATAACTAGCCCTTCTATTTGACTGACTTGATGTTTTGACATCAAACAAATGTCTTTGAATGACACATCAAAATAGCGATTGATATGGAGCGAATATATAACTCCATATAAACAATGAATCATATAAAGAGACATCTATTAGTTCATACAAATTATACATATGAGAAAATAGAATGGTCCACATATACAACCTAGATGGGTAAACCCACCATCATTTGGGTTGTTCTTCTGCCTAGATCCATTTCTAAGAAATTGTTCATAAATTTGAAAATATACAAACTACGTGTTTTGCCCCCAAATAAGATTGAAATACATGTGCATTCCAATTTTACAAAGTTTTATCCTAATTGTTTGGGTTTGGTTACCTGTGTCAACCTTCCACAACTGTGAATTTATGATGGTCTGCCGTATTTAGGATGTAAGAAGAACTGAACAAGGATCAGTCCCTGTTCAGCAGACTAAGAATAGAAATAAACAGTTAACATTGAATAGAGGTAAAGTAAAACTGAGGCGTGGATCAGTGGATGAAAGGATCAGTCTCAAAGTGAACGCACTGCTGTGGGTGGTGGTATTGGACAAAAATCTAACTAAACAGAATTTGACAAAAAGAGGAATTCTGATTCAAAACATGCTGTGTGAGCTGTGTGGGCAAGCAGAAGAGGACAACAATCATCTCCTCATCCATTGCCCTTTCGCGACGGGAATTTGGAACCATTTTCTCTCTTCGGAAGGTATTTCCTGGGCCATGCCAAAACAGGTTTCAGATCTGCTGGGTTGGGATTTGTTAGGCCTTTCTAGGTTGGCTAGAAATGTTTGGTGGGCTATCCCTGCAGCTGTTATCAGTTCCATATGGGCAGAGAGAAACAGAAGAATCTTTCAGAATAAGAAAAATGAGGCGGACTGTCTTGTGTCTGGTGCAGTGGGAAAGTTAGTGTCCTGGACTGCAGGTATAAAAGGCATGCAGCCTAGGGCCTTGGGGTCTCAGTTTAGATCTGTTAGTATATTTGAATTGTAATGTAAACTGAGAGGCTGTTCTCAGTCTTTGCTCCCTTCTGGGAGGCCCTTTGTATGGTTCTGATTTCTATTAATAAATTTACCTTACCTTTTTCAAAAAAAAAACAATAATTCAACATTACAGTTCAGGGCAGCATATGCTAAGATTATTAAACCATCTATATATGCAACTTAATATGACTAAAGTTATAAGAATAAGAGGATTAAGCAAATAGTGGTGATCCAATGAGTGCATACTTGTTGGGTACTGAAAGGGAAACAAATTTATTGTTAAAACTTAGGTGACATTACATGACTTAGTAAAACAGAAAGGAGAAAACTGATAATGCTACAGGCTACAACTCACTCCATGCATTAAGTTAGCTTTGCTTGTCAAACATTCAAGCAATCGCCAAAGAACCCAACTCAACTTTGTAAACCACCTTTAAGTATCTACATTTAGACTTCTAAGTAGTATGTCCAATAGTCACACTTTGTTACAATAGATAACAATTCCTTCAAGTTACCTCCTACATGTTTATCACCCATTGGATGGGAAAAACAAGTTAATCTTTTTGTCATCTAAACTCTCTAACCAACAAGTGATGGGCATGTATGGTATATCTACTAAACAGGTTATATGCAACTCCTACAAAATGTGACGGTATTGTAGAGAGAAAAAAACAAAAAAAAAAATTGATCAAGCTTCACATCATGGGCAAGGCTTATCACTTGAGCTTAAAGCTGTCAATGTATTGGATCCAAATCTAATCCAATTAAATTGGTACGTACCGGATATCCTGTTATGCTTATTGTTGGATTGGATTGGGCCATACCAAATAAATCCTTGTATTATTATGATTGGATTTAATCTATAACAAATTAGATCAGTAACAATCCAATCCAAAGTTAACTCCAAGGTTAAGTATCAACAGGCCTCTATAGAGACTTGTGGAAGGTAGGAAATCATCAATCTCCAGAAAAATTCTATTGAATTCATCATTTTATTCGAGGCTGGATCTTCTGCAAGAAGAAACTCATGACATATAGCCACAAATTGGGAACATCTCCGACACATGTATGTTAAACTCATAGGGAAATGTTCTCAATGTACAGTTGGATGCCCATGCTTGTAGAGTGTGTGCAAAGATTTTGCTTGAAAGAGATCCCATTGTAAGAGAATAGATAATACTTGTTGCTATGGATTATATATAATTCAACACTCACTATCAACATCAGTCATCATCTCCCAAGCAACCAAAAGCATCTCCAGCCCCTTGTACACAGTTTCTACCACCTATTAGGCCGCCTGGAACATAACACCTTAATGACCTCTCCAATCTCACCTCAAAGCGCTCCCCCCTTTTGAGCAGCCATCAAAGTCCATGATTTCTGCACTCTCAGTATTTGGATTTTGGATCAAACTGGTGTAAACTCCTTTTCCCTATATGTAATTATCATTTTTTATGTTAAATTTGATACAGTTTTCGAGACCACACAATAAGAAATCAAACTGGTGTAAACACTACTATTACATTCATTCAATCTGAAATCAAATGCCAGGTAGAAACTACAAAACCATACAATAAGAAACAGCTATTTGAGATTAAAGAAGATGATTCCATCTTGATTTCCTACTTCAGTATGTCAATCACTATATAAAATCTATGATATTAAAGAAGATGAGCAATGTCAAAAATATTTACCTATCCAAAGCTCTGATGTACACGCGACTTGAGAACTCTGAGAAACGACGGCGATGGAAACAGGGACACAGCGAGAAACAGTGGCATTGAAGCTAAGAGGAAAAACCTACTTCAATGGCGGAACTAGCAGAGCGTTGAGAAAATTGTGAAAATTTTTCGATGGCGAGTGGCTTGAAACCCTAACGTGGAGTATAGTGGCTTGAAACCCTAACTATGAAAAAACTTGCTTCGAGGGCATGGCGAGTTGAAAGATCTTTGTTCTAGCTGGATTCTCTGGCTTGCATCTGCACATCAGAGACACTAACTAGAACACGTTCCAGCTGCACATCGGAAACCAGAGATCTTTGTTCCAACTTCTCTCTCGACCCAATTGACCCTCTTTTACTGACCTTAATGGGTCACTTGATCCAATATAATCCATTACTGGAATGGATGGGTATGGATTTGAAGCGGGTGGGTCAAAAGGGTCAGGGTTAAGATTGCCAGCCTACCCATGTCGTATAAGGTGTACTAAGTATCGAAATAATAAAGAACATTAATCAAGAGGATTTATGATTAACAATTAAAAACATGTTCACTAATTAAGGAGTAGAACATCCTAGAGTAATCTTGAAAATCATTGAATGACACTTCAAAATAATCAAGGGTAATGTTGATACTAGGAAAGCACTGTAAATTTGCTCCTAAGCTGAGGTGAGGCCAAGGTATCTAAGGTGTTCAAGGTTCGAGGCCCAAGGAGGCCAAGGTATCCGGGACCCAAGGACTAGTGGGTCGACCCTATGAAAAGGACAATGTCAAAGGCCCTAGGTGTAAACTCCGATGGTTAAATTAGTATCAGGGGGTGTACAGTGGATGATGTTCCAGGTGTAAACACCCAGAAGAGGCACAAGAGAGAATAGAAGATCTCTAGAGATGAAATTCCAATCCCTTACCTTGAGGGGATTACTTCCTATTTATACTTGAAACCATTTCGAGGTAGATGAGTTAAGACGGTCGGGATGCGCAAGAAGTGTGGCCATCCAAGGCCGTCAGGTGGCTCCGCACTATTGGCTCCCTGAAATCCGTCAAGCTCTGCCACGCGCACACCTTGATTGGATCCCCTCTGAATTGCGCTGCCTGACATGTGTAGGCCCGCGATAGGACGGGGCCATTTGCGCCTACGTTAGGTAAGATAGTAAAAAGGGATAATCTAAGAAAGTTATGGAGTATCTAGAGTTGGCTATACTTAACTACCATCAACCTACTTCTGCTACTCTTGCGAGAATTCCAACTCCAATGAACTATAGACTTGATCTCTCACCAATACACCACTCTAGGGTCCTTAGACTTCAGGGCATACACCGTATCTACACCAATACACCACTTTATAGTAATTACTAATTTAAGTTTTGTATATTCTTGTGTAGAGAGAATTTGGATTTTGGAAATCCAAACTATTGTAGGTGTTGGGTGAGACCGGATCTGCTCTTCACACAGGGCGCTTCATTCACACCTCACATGCACATCTTACCATGCATTAGGAACATCTCCCGTATGCAGCCAACCAGGGTGAGAACTCATCATTGGCTGTGGAGTTAATGTTCTAAACCACTTGCAAACCGCAATGCATTTGTTTTCCAATATTACTCTTCCAAAGCCCAACCTTTTAGCATCCTTTGCAAGCTAGAACCACCCTACCCCTATGCATTTTGTGTAGACACATTTACGCACAAAGAACCAATTGAGCAGCTATAACAAGCAATTCCACATCATTTGCTTAAAACAAACCGGCCACTCATATGCATAGGCTCCCAAATAAAAATCTCACCTTACAATTCCCTTTGACCCATCTAGGCAATGGGGGTTGCCACCTGACACTAAAGTGTAATTATTGTTAGGATTTGGATATGCTCCTCATAGAGCGTTCTTCACACCAACCTCATAGCACATCGCAACCGTGTATTAGGAACATCTTCCCATGTATGACAACATACAAGTATGGGAGATGCTCTCAATTTGTGGCTACGTGTGTGAGATTGGTGTAAGGAGTGCTTTGTGAGGAGAAAATCCAGTCTCCTATTGTTGGTTAATCTCTTGCACCATTATGCAATCACTCAACAACATCTCTTGGACTTGAATCTATCATTTGACATAGGAAGGAGTTGTAGGATCTCCAAATGTTCCACCAAACCATGCTAATTGGAAGCACACATGTGCAAGCCCATCATTGTGCCTATGGGTGGCAATGAGCCGAGCTCGGTTCGATTTCAGCTGAACTCGAGCCCAATTAAGTGGCTCGATTATTAAACGAGCCGAGTTCGAGCCTAGTAGAGCTTGACTCGCGAGCCAGCTCGAATATATATAAATATATATATATAATAAAAATATTATAATTCTTATATTTTTTAAATATAAAATAATTTGTTATATAATTTTTATTTTTATAAAATATATAATAAAATATTTTTATATAATATAAAATGAGCCGAGCTCGAGTTTATGAACTTTTGACTCGAGCGGAGCTCGAACTCAAGGTTTTGGCTTGAACTGAGCTTGAGCCTTGTAGAATAGTCTTGAGCCTGGTACTATTCGGCTCGGCTCAGCTTGAATCAACCCCTAATTATGCCTATCAGAAAGAAGAAAATCTATGTTTGGGATCAATGTTAATTCCTATGATGATATTTTTTTTTCAAAAAAATTGATTTCTTAGAAATTAGAGAAGTTGCTTGTTTGGTACCATTACCGTCATGTCATTCAATTTCTCAAAACCAATAATGAATTTGTTTGATAATGATTATCAACATTAATTTATGGGAACTATCTCCCCTATGCATGTCAGATGCCACATCATCCAAAATTAATATGAATCAGCTTGAAAAGTGGAATCATTGTTTTTGATGATTCATATTTTCAACCCCACTTTAAATAATTGGTTTCTTACCAATTTGAGGATTTCCTCAACCAAACATAAAATAATTGATGATTTGAAAATCGTTGATGTTGCTCTAATGTGATGTCAATTTATTGAGGAATTGGCATCGATCCCGAACACCACCTATTCAACCAAATGGGTGAGAATGATTATAAGTGCAAACGGGAGTTGAACCACACTGCCTTTGCAAATTGACAATGGAATAGCATATGAATAATAGGCTCCTTGTATAACATACACATAGGGCAAGAGCAGAACAAGATGTGTCTTCGTTTCCTTTGCATCCCATCACATTTTTAATCTGGGTTGTGTTTAGTTTGAAGAAAAAAATAGGTAAAAGAAGAAAAATGTTAGAAAACCTTGTATATTTTTTCTTTCTTTCCTTACCTTTTCCTTCAAACCAAACATAGTATAAATCTTGTATACTTCCACACCTTCCCAAAATCCCTCCTCCCTCTCTGTTTACTCCTGCCAAGCAAGCTTATAACCTGATTTTACCAAATAATTGCCCGAAGAAGCCATCCTTAATGTAAATCCTGACTTAGGTTGAATGAAATTGCCTTGAGCCTATCTATATAAAAATGAATGAAGGATAAAAACTTTGTTTTCTTTTATACAAAAAGAATAAAAAAGTATATGACAAGGAGCTAAGCCAATTTTAACAAAAATTCTTTTCCTCATAATTTATTTTTTCATCCTTAGGAGAAACCGACCTAGTCTCTACTATGAAGTCTTTGTCCAAACTCCATGATAAATCCTAATCGATGATGTAAAGTAGAAAGTCATCTTCATGTATAAATCCCACTTGGTGAAATATAAAATGGTTTTTTCATATTTTTAATAAATATAAAATAAACTTTAAAATATATAATCTCATAACAAAAAAAAGATTAAAAGGAAAAAAAGAAAAAGATAGAAATGGATTGAGATAGAGAAATAAAAGGAAAAGGAGAGAGAGGAGACAACAGATGAGGTATGAGGTTGAGGTTTGGCAGCAAGCCTGAAGTCACACTCACACTACTCGCCACTTGGCAGCAAGAGAGGAGATCCTGCCAACCTCCGAACTTCTAAGGAGTTATTAAAGCCTAACCACCGAATCCGACTTAAGGCTTTAGCCCTCGGGTTTGGTGTCTTACCAACCTTCGGGCTTCCGCTTCGGCTATCGGACCAGTTTACCTCCCTCGGGATAACAATTAGCTGGGCCGTGGTTTTGTTAACACCTGGTTATTTATGGGTACCGGTATTGGACTTTCTTTCCTTTTCCTTTCTTCTCGGGACCCTACTCCCCCGGTTTTGTTTCAAATATCTCCCCTAAGCTGGTTTTTTTATTACCGCGGCTGGCTTTGGGCCCAACCTTCCTCTTTCACCCCCGGCCCATCTATCCCACCACACCGAGCCCATGAGTTCAGACTCACAGCATTCTCACTGGGTGTGATTTAAATTTGGCTGTGCATGAAAACTATTCTTGGGTCGGTTTTCACATATGCCAACAAAATGCATTCTAACAACGTACCAACGTGATCTCACACGACATATCTCGTACATGGCGCGTCCCACTTTTATGGTGGGTTTCAGTCTCATGGTGAGACATAGTTGGTGGAAAATTGGAATGTGTTTTGTTGGCAGAAGATTGCAATTCAAATATAAGCTCTAGAGTTGTTTTACTAAAAACTCTATAAAAAGACGATAATTCAATTGCATATTGGGACATCTCTCTATGAATTTGACATATGTATAGAATCGGAACCATTTTGGTCATTGATTTCTAAATCGAAAGTTCAATTGTTCGATCTGAACGGATAGTTCGTTCTGACAAAAAATTTTAAAATAAAAATAGCTAAAAACCGTTGAATGAGTTAATGGTTCAACAGCCTGAGTCAACAGATCATTGACTGATTCGATAATTTTTTACTAGAGATCGGGTTTGGGATAAAATGGAACCGATTGTTTAAATGGGTTTTGAGTCATTGACTTATAAAAAACCCTTTTTTTAAGCTCAATCACAACTAATCAAACTCACCCATAATCAATTATATTAATAAACTGAATGTATCATTCAACCCTCTAGAGTCTACACCTAGAAAACGTCACTCGGCCGTTCAAGTAAGCCCAACAACAATCGGCCCATTTAGCAGACAAATCTTGTGGTCCAAGTCTTAAACAGTTTTGGAAAACCAGTTCCAGGACAAAAAAACCGCCTTCAGTCTCGCAATCTACAGGATTGCGGTGGGGCTTACGTGGAGAATAGAGTTGATACCTGTCTCAATAAAAACCTAAACCCACCCTCTCTTTTCTCTGCTCGTCTCCCATCAGTTTCTCTTCCTATCCCTCCACCCATCACTCCTCTAAAGAAATCTCCCTCAGCTCAGCTCCAACTCAAGCATGTCTTGCTTCAAGGGCAAATACCATGGTAATCATTTATTTCTTTCAATCTTTCTGTTGATTTTTGTTTCTGGGTTTTTGATTTTGGTTCTGCTTATTACTGTTATTATATCTGATTAAGATCTGGGTTGCTTTTCATTTCCATCTTTGTGTTATTCTATAGTAGATCTAGCCATCTGAGCTACTCTGTTCTTTCATTTGTTCTTTATGGGTGGACTTGTTTTGTCAGATCTAGACTTAGTCGTTATTTCTATTTTCTGAGTTTATAGATCTGATTTCTTTGGTCATGTTTTAGATCGTAGTACTGTGTTTTATAATCCCCTCACAATGACGACCAAGATCCCATGATTTCTTGTTCTCGGATGTTTTTATTTTTATAATCAAAAAGCGTTTTTTTTTCTCGGTTATGATCGTTTTTTAAGATATTAGGATGGTGTTAGTCTCTCATATATTACACAGGTACTCTTGAGTGATTGATGGGGAAACCACGATTTGTAGGGATCTGTTGTAGTTTTGCTTGTTTTATGTTATATCAACTTTTTTTTGGGTTCCTAAAATGGTTAAGAAATCCAGAAGAAAAAGAATGTTGTGGAAAGAAACTTGTCACAAATCTTAAATTTCGTCCTTTATACTAAATTACCACTTCTCTGCCAATAATGCGTTCTTTTTAGAGATTTGTACATCTTTTTAGTGGTCGTGGTAGGTATCCTACATTCAGGAAAAATACGGATGTTTGTAGGGATTCCATCACCTCATCTCCATGTATCTTATCATTAAAGCTCAGATCTTTTATTTCTTAGATTCCTATTTCTGTGAATCATTTCCTTTTGGGTTTTTATGCATTTAAATTTTAGATTTTATTTGATGCAGTGAAATGATATGTGCAGGTTGCGTTTTGTTTAGTAGAAGATATGAATTCTAGATATTATACAGAACTGTGGGATATGTTCTGTTCATATGATCTGATCCCAAAATTCTATGACTCTACCTTTATCCTATGGTATCTAAATTCTTACTAGCATCTTTTATATCAGACTTTCTCATGTATAAAAATCTTGATGGTTGCTAGATGAAGTCCCTTTTCTTTTTTCCTCCTTGTTTCTTCTGAAAGCATCATCTAGCAGAGAAGATGTACATGCCCCATAAGTTATGGCTTGCTATTTTTCTATGATGAGTACCATATAATCTGGATCTTACTTGGATATTCTCTTTTCTTGTCCTGCAGATGAACTCATTGCCAATGCTGCCTACATTGGCACACCCGGAAAGGGTATCCTTGCTGCTGATGAGTCTACTGGCACAATTGGCAAGCGTCTATCCAGCATCAATGTGGAGAACGTTGAGACCAACAGGAGGGCTCTCCGTGAGCTTCTCTTTTGCACCCCAGGTGCCCTCCAATACCTGAGTGGTGTGATCCTCTTTGAGGAGACCCTTTACCAAAAGACAGCCAGTGGCAAGCCTTTTGTTGATGTCCTCAAGGAAGGTGGTGTTCTTCCTGGTATCAAGGTTGACAAGGGTACCGTTGAACTTGCTGGCACCAACGGTGAGACCACCACCCAGGGTCTTGATGGCCTTGCTCAGCGCTGCCAACAGTACTATGCAGCTGGTGCTCGGTTCGCTAAGTGGCGTGCTGTGCTCAAGATTGGCCCTACCGAGCCATCTCAGTTGGCCATCAATGAAAACGCCAACGGCTTGGCCAGGTATGCCATAATTTGCCAGGAGAACGGATTGGTCCCAATTGTGGAGCCAGAGATCCTGGTGGATGGTCCTCATGACATTCAACGATGTGCGGACGTTACAGAGCGTGTCCTCGCAGCTGTGTACAAGGCACTGAATGACCACCATGTCCTGCTTGAGGGGACCTTGTTGAAACCCAACATGGTCACACCAGGGTCCGATGCCAAGAAGGTGAGCCCACAGGTGATTGCCGAGCATACCGTGCGAGCGTTGCAACGAACCGTGCCTGCCGCCGTTCCCGCCATTGTTTTCCTCTCAGGTGGTCAGAGTGAGGAACAGGCCACTCTCAACCTGAATGCCATGAACCAGCTGAAAGGAAAGAAGCCATGGTCTCTCTCATTCTCTTTTGGCCGTGCATTGCAGCAGAGCACCCTCAAGGCATGGGCTGGAAAAGAAGAGAACGTGCAGAAGGCCCGAGCTGCTTTCCTTACCAGGTGCAAAGCCAACTCAGAGGCCACTTTGGGTACCTACAAGGGTGATGCTGCCCAGGGAGAAGGTGTCTCGGAGAGCCTGCATGTCAAGGACTACAAGTACTGAGAAATTTTGGGTTCTCTCTTCTCTTGTATGGTGTTTATGTAAGTGAGATTTGAGTATAAAGGAAGAAAAACAAATGGAGAGTGTTGTCCTGCGGTTACTGTTTATCTTCTATTTGCTAGGAATAAGTTGAGAGCTAATAGCTTTGAAGAACATTGCAACTTTAGTTTTTGTTCTGCAGATGAAACTTTATGGTCTGTCTAATCTGTGTAATGCTTTCATGGGTTTTTAGTAAATTGGGATCCCTTTCTTACTCGTATTCATGTGGTCATATACTGGCTTTGTAGTGGTTTTTGATGCCTGGCTTTCTCGTTCATACATTATGGTCTTACTCTTACCATGGAGAGAGAGCTTGGCATGCATAGGCAACAAGGAGTGTGTTGTTGAAAACATGCGTTCAGCTTCCATCCTATCGTTGTATTTTATTTTATTAATACTTTCTGATTTTTGAACTTGGTTGTGAATGCCATGCCCATGTGATGCCTGGCTTTCTCGTTCATACATTATGGTTTTACTCTTACCATGGAGAGAGAGCTTGGCATGCATAGGCAACAGGAAGTGTGTTGTTGAAAACATACGTTCAGCTTCCATCCTATCGTTGTATTTTATTTTATTAATACTTTCTGATTTTTGAACTTAGTTGTGCAATGCCAAGCCCATGTGATGGGTTGGTGAATGAATGTGCCAAACTGCCAAATGTGGGTGTGGCCAAGTTAGGTAGAGATTTTTTCTTTTAGCTTTGGATATAAACAAAGTGGGGCTTTGGGCTCTCTGGGCGGTGGTCCAACCCCAGCACCAGCCACCGCAACCTGCTGATGACCGTCCCCACTCGAGCCACTTGCATGTGGGGTCTGACCCTCACTCTTGTGCGTATTCTTGTAGTTGGAGAGGATATTTATTGCCAAAAGCCAATGCCCCCATTCGGAATATGCCTGGGAGATAGCTGGTACATGGGCCATTTTAACTCTTTAAGATATTGAACCGAATTTTGAATTGAAACTTGAAGGTGCTGGACCTGAACCTCAACTGCTTCATTCAACGACGGTTCCACAAACCCAAATCTGGTTTGGGGCCTGGTCCATATTGAGGGATCCATCAAATTTTCATTAACACGGTTTCTACGTGGTAGTGAATAGTGATCGTCCGGATTGCAGCTGGTCTTCTGTTTGGTTTAGGCAGAACAATTGCATCGTTTGCTTCTATTTATTTCATCTAGTTTTTTTTTATTTTAATTTTTTTACATGGATGAGAGAGCATTATTCCTGTTGTCCAACTCAAATCCAAAAGGGTCAGGATTCTTATTCTATTGTCAAATGGACAATTTGGATTTGCCATATGAATTGGACCCAACCTTGCAAAATAGCCCACTGCCCACTATCTAATTATATATGTCAACTGCTTTACCCATATTCTTTTTAACTGTAGCATCAGATCCGAAAACCATCCCAAGTCCCAATTCATTATAAAATTTCACACTAAACTGGAAAAAAAGAATAGTCTCCATGTCATACTGCATGTGGGTATGAATAATGAATAAAAAAGGGAAAAAATTGATGGGCCACCCGTCAAACAACTCAATAGGGAAAGCCCAACACAACATTTGGGGTAAGGTTGACATGGATGAGAGCACCAAATATCTCTCATCAAATGGACCCTCTGGATTTGTTAAATCATTTCCTGATGTGGATCAAGAATTCCCCATTTTAATATTTATTGTTTATTAAACTAGCTTTCTAAAACAGTATTTTAGGGAATTAGGGCTAGTCCACCTCAAATTGGCATGCCATCTCTACCTCATCAAATAATTTATTTCTCGATGTAACTGCTCATATAATATTACAATCCATCATTATAATTTTTATCAACTGTATTAAAGAATAAAAAAAAAACACTATGACACGTCCAAATAAACTACCATATATTATACCTATCTAAAAATGAAATAATAGGTCAATATCAAAATTCTAAAACCAAACCCAAGAGAAAGAGGTAACTGACAAAGCTGGGAGATGGAAAAAAAAACAGCCACTGAATATTTCTCAACCGACACCATGACCCTCCAAACTGGTTGGAGTGGCTAAGATTGGAATTGGATGAATAAAGGTTGGGAATTCTCTCCTTGGAAAAGTGAATGAGAAGAGTCTAACTTATACCTAACCTCATGCAAACATGTGATGGGTAGGTAGTACAGGTAAATAAACGGTGGGCTTTTTTTTTTTTTTGAGATAATTATACTATATTCCGAAATCTAAAATTACAGTCTTTTCCTAATTTATTAATAGCCCCCTATAAACCGCACCCTACCCATGGATTTAGCATATTTACGGTCAGGATTCATCTTACTTGTACGATGGGGCTAAGATTTTCAAGGTGGACTGTATTAATAGCCCCTATAAACCGCACCCTACCCATGAATTTAACATATTTATGATCAGGATTCATTCTACCTGTACAATGGGATTAAGATTTCTAAGGTGGACTGAACAATAACCCCCCCTTTCTTCAGTTGTTGTAAAATCCCGAATTGAAATCTAATCGAAATCAATTGTTAATCAGTTGATCCATTCAGTAATTTAGTATCTTGTTTCTTATATTTATAATGTATTGTAAATAAATATATAAATAGATAATATATAATAGTGTACATACACCAGTTTCGGTTAAATGGATTTTTAAGTTTGATATTATCCGTTCGATTTATTTTTTGGTTTTTGATGAACAAGGTGAATCGGGTTTGGTGTGGCTATGCTTAGGTCGAGCCAGTTTGTAAAGCAATCAGTCCTAAAGCTTAAGCTATGATCAGGCTTACGGCTGAAAGATTCATTTCCAACATCTCAATCTCTACCTATATTAATATATGGCCGCGCTTTAGAACGTTAAAGACAAAACCCAGCTTACCAAACATTGTTACGTATGTAATGTTTTATATTTATATATCATAAAAAAATCTTACGGTTTGATAACAGCAGAAGTTGTTGGACTGAAACGCTTATTATTTTTCCTTTTAGTGGATAAAAATAGTGAAGGATCGATCCATTTGATTTGTAGTTGGAATTAGAATAGTTTATCTCCATAGTCTGTTTGGTTCAGACAGGAATCGGAATGGAATCAAAATCTCTTAGAATTAGAATCAGAATGGTCAAGGGCATAATAATCTACTAAGGGCCTGTTCCTTTGCTCTAACATCTAAAAATGCAATAATTACATTAAAAGGTATATTGGCATTGATGAACTTACTTTGAACGAAGAGAATGTTAATCTGAATTATAAATTCTAAAAATTATTAAATATTCATTTTGACCTCATAAGAGTTTTTGTTTGTCTTTTTGGGGGTATCATTTGAAAACAAAAAGTTGTATGATTACATTTTAAGAGATAAGAGGAAACGAACAACCATTTTTGTCTTAAAGTTAAAAAATTCCTATGAAGAAATAAGGGTTAAAAAGAAATAAACATACCCTAAATTTCAGTTCTAACCATTAAGTAACTCACAATCTTTATAAAAACTTATTCACCGGAAGAAACATGTTTATGTTTTTCATTTCAGCCACTTCAGTTGTTATGAAATGGCCTCTTACCAAAAACTGTTATATAAAAAAATGTTTTGATGCATAACAAATATCCGAAAGATATGATATTTGAAAAACTTCTGACCAATCAACTGAAATCAGAAATTTGATAGCCAATCAGATGCTATTGATCAAAATTCTTTTGGTATCATATCTTTTCTGCATCATAGGTTTTCTCAATAATATACAGATACATGCCAAAGACGAGTTGTTTTTGGCCAACTTGTGACGAATTGGCGTTCATAAAACATATAATGTTTGTATTCCCAGTTCTTTCATAGCGTAAGCGGGTTTAGCCCAGCCGAATTCGATCCATTTGCATATTTCATATTTCATGTTGTCACTGATAATTTTTTCAACCTATTTTCAAACCAGTTGATCCATCACCTGGTTAGGATTCCTGTTCATTTAACCCCTGAATCACAGCAGAAAAAAACCTTTTACTGAGTAAATGACATAGAGACCCACCATTCAAACTGTCAAATCATTGACCGATCAAGGGATCACAGGTCACACATTAAATCTCTTTTCCTGCATTTTTAACCATTTTTTGTTATATAATAAATGTATGGTATTAAAGGCAAGAAAATCTATGATGCGAAAAACACATGATATAGAAAAGGTTTTGATCAATCAATCAAAACCCATCCGATCGGTTATCACTTTTATGATGCTGGTTAATTGATTATGAATTTTTCAAAGATTATGTCTTTCTGGCATCATAGATGAACCCTATTAAAGATATATCCAATTTTTTTTTCATAATTTTTAATTTTTTTTTCAATCCTTATCTATTTTTGAATTATTTACCTATCATTCCAAAAAAGAAAAAAAAATTCATTTTCAAGATGTGGGATCAAATCTTGGTGCCATTAAGATTGGGGGGTTAGTGGGTAATGGGTTTGGGGATAGGCTACAGCCCCGATTGTGTAGCCCCATGAAAACAAAAAGTAAAAATAGTAGTAGTAGAAGAAGAAAAGGATCACGTCAAAATCCCACCTGCTTAAAACATTCTTTTGTTCAGTGGAATTAAAGCACAAATTCTTTATTAATGTAAGATACAACCTTAGTGGATGATGGATATTTTCTGGGAGTAAAAGACGTATTCAAGGCTCAAGCAAGGGAGCCTGGTTAACCGCATGACCAGAAATGTTTAACGATGAACCAGACGAGACAGTAGATGAAGGTTCCAATCCGGACACAATTTAATTTCGACGACTGCAACTCTTTAATATGCATAACAAGTTTTGATAAATAACACTATAAATACCGGTCTGAACCGGAAACTGCAAGTCGAACCGGGTTACATCACAACCTTACCATTTCCTTTTCAAAGCTAACCCAGCCAGTTTGAGTGGTTTTTGAGGTTTAACTGCTGGTTGAATCGGCAAGGTCTAAATAAAACTCACATATTCATATGTATGATACTCAATTCATTTTTTCATTTAGGCTCTGTTTGTTCAATGGTATTTAACTGGGGTAACTTGGTCAATCGGTAAGTTATAATCACAGTACCTATATTTATTTGTTGTTATATCGTTATTGTTATTGTTATTATTATTATTATTATTTTAATCGATCAGATGGAACTATACAAGACAAGGGGTAGCTCTGCCCCAATTGTCACAAAGACAAATAAAAGAGAGATCCCAAGGGATACAACTAACACTCACAAAGCGTATGTTTGGCATC